GCAGAAGTTAGATATAAAACCTGAAATGACATTACTGAATGTCATTTCAGGAGTAAATGATAACAAATTGAAGCATTGTCTGATGTATATACTCACAGCAGCTAGATTACTCTGGGCCCAGAAATGGAAAACAGAAGAGGTTCCGACGATAGAAGAGCTGTTAAAGAAGCTATGGGACATAGCAGAACTGGACACTCTATCAGAAGCACTACGGGAACAGCCAAGAGACTATGTAAAGCAAAGCTGGGGACTAATATATTCATGGGCCCAGAAGAAGACAGGAGTCTAGGGTAAAATATATGATATATGTATGAACCATTTACTATAGTAAATCGATATAGGGAGAGTAGAGGGGCTAACGAGGCTGGAATCTTTGACTCCAAAGGGAGGAGGGGGTATTTTAAATAGAGGAATCAGCTAGGTTTTTTTTCCCTTTGTATACGTGGTATGATTTCTTTTTCTGTTTTTTCTCTCTTCTTTTTTTCTTTTTTTGGTGTTTTTATGGTTTTTTGTATGTTAGAAATTATAAGAATAAAAAAAAGACTTCTGGAAAAAAAACAGGAAAGGTGAGCACTCCTTAATTTTATCACATCTGGTGGTAGCAGGGCAAACAGGTGCAGTCAATAGTATGAATTTCTGTGTTGCTGGTTGGCAAGAACAACCAGATCAAACCTATTGCTTACACCCAGGACTGGAAAATGGCAAACCTCTTGAGGTTAAGACTGACACTAGCTATAGTGGCGGCTCCTTATGTGAACCATCACCCAGCAGCATCTAGAGGGCCAAATATTTCCTATTCTGCATTAGACTTTTCATTATTGGTATAAGTACATCACTATCTTTTACATGGATCCCTTTGAATTAAGAAAAGTACTTACCTTGAAGTTTTCCAGATGCTCCTTGAACTCTTTTCCAACTCAATACCAAGCCACATTTCTGCAAAATATTGTTTTTAAAAATGCTTTACTTAGGTAATGAATGAACGTGCATCAGTTAGAAATAGGAAATTGCCCTCACACTTGAAAGTTTAGTGTTAATTGATAAATATATTTCAAATCAAAATTTAAATCTTTGCAGCTCTGCTAGTCATCTACCCATTCCATCCAAACCTCCTCCAAGACTGCGTCTTCTTTAAAACAAAAAAACAAAAACACACTCCATGGACATAAAAAAGTATCTTAAAGCCTATGCTCTTTTAGCTCGAACTTTTAAAATTAATAGTTTTAAAGAGTCAGAATTTCTCATATCTGAGAGGACAATTACCACCCCCCCCAACAAAACATCAACGATTTCAAAAACAGTAAAAATAAAGTACAGATTTAGTATTACAATGAAATTATTAAAGCTTAGTTACAAAGATTTAATACAGAATGCAAAACAAAAAAAAAACAATAGTCACTTTACTATCAGTACTACTCTTGACCTAGGCTCTATCATCTCTTAATAGAGTGGATAACTAAACATTTTTTTAAAGACAGAAATCATTTTTTAAAAAAAAAGATTTAATTTATGGTAAGCATTTTCTTTAAGGAATAAAAATAGCTCTATTTTAACTTAAATATGCATTCAATACAAATATCAGAATATGCATGTAGAGCATATCTGACAAAAAAGTAAGACAAAAACATTATGGAATCTTAAAAACTAGTTATATTTTAATGTGAGCTTTTGAGTATCAGGTCCGTTTCCTCAGACTTGATCCACAAAAGTTCACATTAAAATATAACAATTAGTCCTTACAGTGCCACAATAAAGGTTTTTTGAAATTTTTGTCTAATGTGCTTGCACAAATAAACATAAATATTTAAGATAAAACATGTTATCACCTTTTTTTGTGGACAAAAAGTTTCTGAAGACTATATATACAAGCAGAAGTGAGCCTAGCAGTTCAAAACTCTGTACTGCTTGTACACAGGATACTAAGCCATAGGTCTACATTACACCTAAAGTGGCCCAATATTTATGTGATCACGCGGATTTAGGATTCCATACAGATGATTCTGGATAACTCTCCAGCTATGTGATTTCTACAATGAATTTGGTTCTTAAAGTAGAACATGTGTGATTTAACTACTCAGAACGGCCATTTACTTTCCACCCTATTGAGTAAAAAAAATGTCACCAAAGAATTGCCTTTGCTCATGAAAAGTTGATCACACATAGCAACTGCAGCCTCATCTCAGTGCATAATCTATCTGTAACACAGGTCTGCTCTAATGCATCAGATTACTTTATGCATTCTATATAGAACTGCCTTTCAAGGTTCTATGCAAAACAATAGCCCTATTCAATTGTGCTTCAAAAATGTGTAGAGCCCAAATGTGCTGATGAAAACATGCTAGCTCTACCCTCTCTGTTATTTAATTAAGCAGTGCTAAAATGCTTGAATTAAGACATTGCAAAAACAAGTTTTGAAATGGTAGTTTCACTTACAGCAAGAAGCTGTCGTATAAGCATGTCTGACGCCTTTTCAGATATGTTGCCTACAAATACAGTGGTTGTAGGACCACTGTTCTCATCATTTTCCTTGTTCTTTAGAGCTGGATGGTCCTTTCTGATTCCCATATGCTTCCCAACCATTGACACTGTAGTTGGGACCAATACCTGAAAAGGAAAAATAACATTAGTGAGAAAACAGATTTTTAAGATAACATATTAAGTAAAATGAAAAAACCTATACAAGTAGCCCACTATCAGTAAGATAGACTTACAATTAAAAAAAACTTAAATGTAGTAAGATGTTCAAGACCCAAATTTTTCAACATGCAGTAGATAAATAAGAGATGTTCTGAATGCTTTTAAGGATCTTGTTATATTTTTCTGTTTTATCAGATTTCTCTAAAAAGGAAATTTCATGCAGCCCTTTGAACCAAACCTCCTTGATGAAAACGTCATAAATTGCAACTTAAAAGCTTTAACACAAAATACAGGCAAGAAATAAAATGCAAATCAAGAAACTTATATTTAAATGTCATTATTTTGACACTTTGCAATTTTACATACATTGTTTTTAAATTCAAAATATTTCCAAATTCCACCTTGAGACAAAATGTATTCCCCAAGATTGGAAGATCTTCAGGAATTAAAGTGAGCACTGCATAAACTTGTAGATGTCTACTACAAATTTAAATAAGTTCTTGCATGTAAAGGTTTGCATATTGGGAAGTCAACCTCCAGAAAACATGCATCTCCTTTCTCTTTTGCAAAATTCAATGTCATTATCCATGCTAGGTCTTTAATAATTTCTTATCACTGCTTCTCTGTAACAATATTAACCAGGTTTCTCAATTCAACCAAGATTTGCAAAATGGTGGTTATAATTGTGAACCCTGGACAGCATTACTCATACAGTCAAGATCAGTGTAGAGATTGAGAAAACAGAATAAAAACCAAGAATAGAAAGAAAGCAGGTATTTCTTCCAGAGCGGGCTCCTGCCATCCTGTTTCCAAACTATGACTTGCACAGTGCCCATTCTACATCTGCAGTACAGAGGAGAGGAACACAATTAAGTTTTTAAAAATTTGCTGGCTTTTTATGTTTGAAACTGTTGCCAATTACTGTTTCACTGAATGTTTACTATATTTTACTGTAATTTTGTGAATAAGCTTGAATATTTCCATATAAACAACTTCATAGTCAGTAGTGCCATATGCTGTACTTACAGTTGGTGCAGGAGCCATAATGCCCATTGGCACAGGAATCATTGGTGTCCCTATGAAAAGTCATATTAGTAATTTTCAGGAAAAAGATTTGACCACTAATTTGTATTTTTGAGAAAAGGAGACACTAAGCAGGTAAGATGGGAAAACTATACCAACATATGTGCTATAAAGGAGTGAATGCAGAGAACCTACATTATATCTTGTTTAAAATAAAGTTATGGACTTAACTGTAGGAACTCTATCTCAGGGTAGAAGAGTTACAATTTGCTATGCTAGCTTACTGCATGCTGACATAAGAAGTAGTAAGGGGAAATGTCTGTGACCTCCCATCAATATTATTCTGCACCACAGAGAAGCAGAACATAATTATTCTGTCTGATTCCAAGCATAGTTCTTTTCTGTAGTGCACTGTGTTACACCACTGCTCAATCCCAACACTTCAAGAGCACATTTCCTTACTAACATGTGTTACAATTAAAACAAATTTAACTTGAACTATGATTTTTTAAATTATTATTATCAGTATAGCCAAAGTGAACCTGATGTGACAGATATCCCATATAACTTACCAGGAGGTACAGGTGGAGGAAAACCTGGAAATTGTGGGGGTGGAATTCCAGGTGGAAGTGTTGGGATACCCATAGGAGGGCGATTCAAGTGAGGTGGAAAAGACATTTTTAGTAATAACCTAGAAAAGAACAAGCTCAATTTCAACTTCAATTGTTCTGTTTGTTTCCATCTCTACATATGCTGTCCCCTAATAGATGCAATGTTTTAAGACAGCTATTATACTGTTTAACCCAACATTTTGTTTTTCTGTTGTTTTTAGCTTACTTCTAGGAACCAATTAACCCACTAAACAATAGACATTCCTCACTTAATCTTTTCAGAAAAACATAAGCCTAATAAGCACCAAGCAAAAGCTACTATTGACAGGGCTGAAACTTTTATCGGATTTATCTGAAAAGCTGAGTTAGATGATGGGTTGATCTCAACAATTACAACTAGTCTTGGGAAATGAGATTCAGGAGGGTCTGCCCTTTGTGTATAAATGAAGACTTCTATAAAGGCATAGATTACAAGAATGTAAGGACAGAGATAAGCCTCAATCACTGGCTTTTAGGCCTCCAAAAAATCAAAACCAAAGATGACAATTATATTTGCCAAAATGTGAAAGCTGGGATCAAAACAACTGAGACTACAGGTTCTACAGCACATCAGCAGTTATATCTATGTATATTATTCCATGATGTGCATATGGGGAACAATAAAGATATTTTGTAAATGAGGATTCAGTAGTGATCTTGTAAATAAGTTAGAATCATCTTTGCATACGTTGCAAGAAGCATATATTTATGAATTCATTTACAATGTATTTTATAAGTACATATTAAAAACACACATTATATTCTTGCACCTGATCACTTCAAAACTACTCAAAACCAATGAGTTTTGCTTTATAGTCCCTAGCTTGCTTCTCCTTCTAGTGAGAAAGTATTCTATTCCTCTTCTAGAGGAGGGGAAGGCAGAGTCCTGAAGTTGTATTTACATCTCTTGGTGGCTTCCAGGCCAGCAAGGATTTCCGACTCTGAAGTATGTAAGGAGAGCAACAATAAAACAGTTTCCTCCCACTCTAAATTGTACTGTGAAAATGGAAAAAAAAGACTGGGGCAATAAAGTAGTGGATGGACTGTTACCTTCTTTCCATTCTGGGACTCAAAACAAATCCTTGGACTGGAAGTCTTTAAGTGTATGTCCTTTTACTGGGCTACAGTAGGTGGGTTTAGGGTCCTAGTGAAAAATAGAATACACCTAATGGCCAGAATCCTATTTATTTGATACGTCAGAGTTAAGTGCAATGGTGTAAACTGCAGCAGTGAATTGCTGTTTGTTAATGAATTGCCACTTACTGTACATCCTTCATGCTTCTGGCATGTCATGAATAGTACAACCAATGACTTGTTAACTACTGGCAATTCACCATTGCAACTTACCAATAGGATTCTGGCTTGTGAGCCTGAATCTGCTGAACACATACTTTTTCAGTATACACATACTTATCACAGATGTAGCAGGAATAAAACTACAACAACATGTAGCCCCCACAGCCATTTTTGCACCCTTAGAACTTTCATTCCCCCCCAAAAAAAAATTTCAAGATTTTAACATTTTTTTACTCAATAAGTAAGCTTCTGCTTCTTAGGGGTAATGGGACAAGTTTTACCAGGAACTGAGTGGTACCCAAGCATCCCAGGAGCTTCCCTACTTATAACTTGCCAATTTTAATTTTTTTTTTTACTGTTTCAGTTAAAAATAAATATTTTTAGTTAAATCGATTTTCAGGGACCAACCACTGCATCAACCTTTATAGTGTATAATCCCTGCATCAGAATAACCATAACAACAGAACTGAATACACAGATTAATATCTTTGTTCATGCCCTTCATCCTTTATACGTGCCCCTTGGGAGTCCAACCCTTAAGCTTCTGACAAATCTGACTCTCAGGCTCATTGAGATAACCTCTCCCAGACTGCAATGTAGTGCTAAGAACTACTGCTTTAATTGTATGGGACAGAATCCCAAGTATCTCTCTTTGAATGAAAGGACACCGATCCAACAAAGGCTCTATATTGGGACCCCACAATTTTCATCAATGGAACTTCTTAAATGCAAAGATGCTGCTCGATTCAACTCAGGAATAATGCACTGGTCACAACTGAATCATTGCCTGACTTATTCTTTGTGGAACTGGGAAGAGAGCAATTGCCCTTCGATAATTAAGCTCCACAAAACCTCAAAATCTGTATCAGATACAGCAGTTAGATAAAGCCCTGGAACATTCCCCTCCCCAATGGCACAGGGGCTCCAGGGGAAGAGGAAGGACGAATCTCACACCAAGGGAAATTCTGCTGGCATAACGTTGCATTTACACCAAAAATAACAAGCAAAACATCTTTAAAAACATTACAAAGAAAATGCATAGAAGCTGGGATTTTTCCCCAGCACCTCAGAAAGCCATATAGCAGATACAGCTCATTACTTGAAAGGAAGAACTGTTGATTTTGTTTTCCTTTTCAAAATACCTGGGTAGGCACTAAACACAGAAGCTTCTGAAGGAATAAGTGCACAAATCAAGACATTATCTGTACATTAACTCAGACAAAAACTCATTTTAATAAACACTTCAAATTTTGTTGCCTGGATTTCAGATGGCTGGGCAGATTATGTTTTTCCATAGGAACAGGAAACCACATGTACATATTTCTGTTATAATATACACACCAATATATTTTCAGTGAAGTCACAAAGTTTAGCCAATAAACATTGCAACTGATTAGAACTGTGCCAATTCTGGCGAGCACCTTTTAAAATATTAACTGTTTTAAGCCCTTATTAAAACTGTATACAATGGATACCATTTGAGAAAAGCTTTTTTTCCAAAAGGCTTTAAGGATGCTTTTTGTGACATTTAAACACACAGAAGGATGCCTTCTCCTTCCAAAATCTTATAAAGGTTAAAGGTAAAAGTTCCCCTTGACAATTTTTGTCGTCGTGTTCGACTCTAGGGGGCGGTGCTCATCCCCGTTTCCAAGCCACAGAGCTAGCATTTGTCCAAAGACAATCTTCCGTGGTCACATGGCCAGTGTGACTTAGACACGGAACGCTGTTACCTTCCCACCAAGGTGGTCCCTATTTATCTACATGCATTTGCATGCTTTCGAACAGCTAGGTTGGCGGGAGCTGGGACAAGCAATGGGCGCTCACTCCGTCACGTGGATTTGAACTTACAGCTGAAGATCTACAGATCTTACAGCACAGAGGCTTCTGCGGTTTAGTATATAATTTATTTATCTGTATATAATTTATGAAGACTTAATGCTTATAAAACAATCATGGCTTCTTTAACAATATACAGACCCTTAAATTTTACAAACTGTGAAAGATCAATAGCACTGAATGGTTTATTCTTAGGAATCTCCTCTAACAATGACAAGCAGTAAGCACTCCTAAGTGGACTGTGGGTGTGAGAGAAACTGTACAGGATGAGGTTGTTTCCCCAAGCAAGGGTGAGGTTTGTAGGCTGGGGATTTTGATAAATCCAGTCTTTATGGCCACCCAAGGGAAAAAGAACCAGAAAAGCTCCAAGAGCTTCTGAAACTTCCTCTGAAATTCTGCTGATCCAAGATTTTTAGCAGCAAGATTTTAGCAGCTGATTGGCGGCAGTTTTGAAACAAGGCTACTGGATTCCCATGTATTTCCAAGTACAAGTTAAACTACTAAAGTTCTTCATTAACTATCATTTTCTTATTGACAAACCTGGCAAGAGTCTGAGATTATTAGACAGGACCTTTCTCCAGCTTCTCCCATCAGGCTCCTAGAGACCTGGAAAATGGCCTTTTCTTTGGAAGACTCCTCTCTGCGAAAATTCTTACTGGATCAACTTGGCCGATGCTCACTTATGACTTTCCAAGCCATCTAAAAATTGGTTTATTCACATTGTCATTTTAGCCCAGTATGTGGTGTTCTAGTGCTGGAATTTCACATACATAATCTAAGAGTAAACACCAATCAAGTTCAATGGGACTTCTGAGATGTATATAGACTTCACCATAAATTTGGGATTCATCATTTCAGTGAATCTATCTTTTAGAATGAGCCTGATCATACAGTGTAAAAAGAAAAATGTGGAAATGAAATAATTTCCTCAAAACCTGTACAAAAAAGCCACAAATACAATAGAACAGCAAAAACCTTTAAGGTGCATCAAAGCCCACCACTAGGTAGATATTATGATCCCAGAATATTTCCTGTTTCTCATTTGTTGAAATGATAATTCTCAAAACTATACAGATTTTAGGACATCCAAGTAAGTTAAAATTCAGAGAGCCACAACATCACATACATAACACATTCTTACCAGTAAACCTGTTATACTAAGTACAACTTACAGATCAGTCAGTATCCTGCAGTATTTATGTATGTGGCACTCCAACTGTGGAGGCTGCTGTGTTGATCTGATGTGATACATGACCAGGCACAAGATAACCAAAAGTAACTAGTATATCATCGGAATGACACAATATCTTCCACCATTAGAGTTCTGCATGCATAAATACTGAACAAAGTTCTAGCCAATGTCTGCAAAACTGGTGGTGCAGAGAACAAAATTCAAAATAAAAATGTTACTTTAATATGCCATTGAAGTGTTCTCTCCATTCCATTATATATTTTGGTTCCACAAAATACCAGTCAGGCAATCTTCTCCAAATCCTTTTCATGATGTACCAGATGGTGAGAACTTTCATTTCCTTTCAGTCAGCACCACTAATATTTAATACATTTAAAATACCAAACTAGGGAAAACAGTTACTATGTACAGTGGTGCCTCACTAGACAGTTACCCCGCATAACAGTTTTTCGCTAGACATTCTTTTTGAGATCGCTATAGCGATTTGCAAAACAGTGATTCCTATGGGGGAATTTCACTGGGCAATGTTTGGTCCCTGCTTCACAAACCGATTCTCGCTAGATTACAATTTTGACAGCTCCCTCCGCGCTTTCAAAACGGGTGTTTTCGGGACCTAAGCTTCGCAAGACAACTGTTTAAACAGCTGATCAGCGGTTCACAAAACGGCTTTCCTATTGCCGATCTTCGCTAGACAACGACGATTCTTCCACATTGGAACGCATTAAACAGGTTTCAATGCATTTCAATGGGGAAATGCTTTTCGTTAGACGACGATTTCGCTAAACAGCTATTTCAGTGAAACGGATTATCATCGTCTAGTGAGGCACCACTGTAATCTGTTTGCATTAGAATGCATGTTAACAGATGGCACTCTGATTTGAGCAACAAAGCAAAAATAACAGACTCCAAATGCAATTCAATTAGATTTTAAAACTTAAGGAGACAATTTGGGTAACAACCTCTGAAAACAAAGACAGAGAGCTTTCTTTTGTATAGAGTTGATACACAATGAAATGAACACTTGATATACTCATAATGTAAATTTACTGTGAATTCTCTAGAGATACTTCAGGGTTCACACTGGTTCTCCCAGTCTTAGACTTTAAGTCTAGTCCATGCAAAGTTGCACCAGAATTCCATTTCAAATAACCATTTTTATGTTTTTAAATATATTTCTATGTTAATAGAGACTGTTCACTGAAAATGTGCTGATCCATCACCATAGGGATCTATTTTTCACTGAAAGACAATAAACTGCAACTTAAAAAACAGTTAAAGTTGAACCACAACCACAGCATGTGTATATGATGTACTGTTTCCACAAAACCATGTTATTTTAATGCACTCACTTATTGTAAGGTATTCACTTTTGATTCTGCAGTTTAAGAAATGTCTGAGTAAAAAAACCCAATGAACAATACTTAGGAATGCTCAATAAAAAGTACGGCTTTCTTACCAAAGCACAGGCATACAAAGCCTCATTTAAAATTCATACATACCTACCACAAACGTTATTTATTCCAAGGCGATAATTCGCCTGCAGTGCTTTATCAGCGAGGAACTATTCACACGTGCAGATCACTTCTTGATGCTGCCCCTATCAAGTACTAAACAGGTTCATCATCAGCAAAGTCTCGCGTGCAAGTCCTCAAGGAGCGGAAAAGGGTACCTGCAGCCGTACCTACCAGCTCTCAGCAGGCCTGCTCGCAGGCCGAGGGAAAGGAGAGAGAGAGAGAGACAGAGAAAGGCCTTCCCCCCCCCCAAGGGATTTCTAAAATGCTCCAACACTGTTAGCAAACCCACATCCTCCCGCTCGCCCAGAAAATGTAAGATTTTTAAATTAGAAAGAAAAAGGGGCGCTCCCGTTGTCCTCCGCCCCCGCCAGTGGCACACACGACGCCCATTTCCTTCCTCCAAGGAAGGCGAGGGGAGACCACCATTAACCCGCCTCCGCCTCCGCCCCCCTGCTTTGGGGGCGCCCAGACCTTCAGGTGCCGGCCCCCGGAGACCCTTCCATTGCTTCCCCCTTTTATATTTTCCTCCTCCTTTTCAAGAAAGAGGACTGGCGCCCCAGAGGCTCCCGCCACTTACCGTGAGCACCGGCCAGGGAACAGAGGCCTATCTCACTCGACGACGCCTCTGAGCCCGGCAAAGGCAAGTAGGCCGCGAACGCACCGCGCAGAGCCCCAGCCGCCGTCGCGCGACGCTGCAGGTCATGTGACCGAGCGACGTCAGACGTGCCCCTCCCCCCTCACGAATGTCTGGCGTCGACAAACCGCCCTGCGTCGGGCCCGGCTGACCATAGAGACGTAGAAAGAACGTCGCGTCTTCGGGGAAAGAGGCTGAGGAGGAGGGGAATGTCCTTAAGAGTTTTGTGGCGGGCTCGCTTTGCGCCCATTGCCCGCCTCAACTGTAAGACGCCGGTTGGGCCGCGAGTAGAAATGCGGAGTTCGAAAGTTTAATTTATGCCGATAGAAGGGGGGAAAAAAATCAAGGCATGGCGTCGCTTTCTTGTGTATGCCACGGAGTAACCGAGTCGTATCAGATCTATCTCTGCACGTCTCTTTTCATGCTGTTTCAATCTGCAGTCACTCCTGTTTTTCTGTCATTCCGGCCATTTTAGGCCGCTATTTTGGTCTCTTTCCCCCACCACGCAACTCTCGTCTTTGTTTTCAGTTCATTACGATACATTAAAATTCGGAGGGAAAGGAAAAGGTGTGTGTTGCGCGATGTCAACGTCCGAAGCCTCTTAAACTTAATCCACATTTGTCTGATTTATGTATCCGGGTTTAAGTCTCTTGCAGGATAATCAAAGGACCTTGTTGGTCTTTTAAGACTGCCAGTTTTTATTTCGCAAGAGAGTTTGTGGACATTTTTTTTAAATTAGATGTTCCATGATTCTGAAGAAGTGGGCTATGATCAGGAAAGCTCCCCACGTATGAAACGGTTTAGTCTCAAAGGTGCCACAAGGCATTAGTTTATTTTCTGAAAAATAAATATTTCGATTAGAAATAAAAGCTGAGTTAAGCATAGGGCTTCCTGTTTCCCCCTTTATTTATTTTTGATGTGGAGGGGCACAGTTCTCAGAAACAGCTATACAGTACTAAGGTACTGGATTTCATTTTTGTTGTTGTTTAGTCGTTAACAACTCTTCATGACCCCATGGACCAGAGGACACCAGGTCTTCCTGACTTCCACTGCCTCCCGGGGTTTGGTCAAATTCATATTGGTAGCTTTGACGACACTGTTCAACCATCTCGTCCTCTGTCATCCCCTTCACCTCTTGCATTCACACTTTCCCAACATCGGGGTCTTTTCCAGGGAGTCTTCTCATGAGATGGCCAAAGTATTGGAGCCTCAGATTCAGGATCTGTCCTTCCAGTGCACACTCGGGTTGATTTCCTTCAAAATGGATAGCACCACAATTCAAAAGCATCAGTTCTTTGCAGGTCAACTTTCTTTATGGCCCAGCTCCCACTTCCATACTACACTACTGGAAAAATCATAGCTTTGACTATGTGGACCTTTGTTGGCAAGGTGATGTCTCTGCTTTTTAAGATGCTGTCTAGGTTTGTCACCGCTTTCCCCCCAAGAAGCAGATGTCTTTTAATTTCGGGGCTGCTGTCACCATCTGCAGTGAGCAGAGAGCCCAAGAAAGTAAAATCTGTCACTGCCTCCATATCTTCCCCTTCTGTTTGTCAGGAGGTGATGGGAACAGTGGCCATGATCTTAATTTATTTGATGTTGAGCTTCTGACCATTTTTTGTGCTCTCCTCTTTCACCCTCATTATGAGGTTTTTTAATTCCTCCTCACTTTCTGCCATCAGAGTGGTATCTGCATATCGGAGGTTGTTGATATTTCTTCCAGCAGTCTTAATTCCGGCTTGGGATTCATCCAGTCCTGCCTTTCATATGATATATTCTGAATATAAGTTAAATAAGCAGGGGGACAATATACAGCCTTTTTATACTCCTTTCCCAATTTTGAACCAATCAGTTGTTCCATATCCAGTCCTAACAGTTGCTTCCTGTCCCACATATAGGTTTCTCCGGAGATAGACAAGGTGGTCAGGCACTCCCATTTCTTTAAGAACTTGCCATAGATTGTTGTGGTCCACGCAGTCAAAGGCTTTTGCGTAGTCAATGAAGCAGAATCAAATGTTTTTCTAGGACTCTCTGGCTTTCTTCATAATCCTGCACATGTTAGCAATTTGATCTCTAGTTCCTCTGTCCCTTTGAAATCCAGCTTGTACTTGTGGGATTTCTCGGTTCACATACTGCTGAAGCCTGCCTTGTAGGATTTTGAGCATAACTTTGCTAGTGTGTGAAATGAGTGCAATTGTACGGTAGTTGGAGCATTCTTTGGCACTGCCTTTCTTTGGGATTGGGATGTAGACTGATCTTTTCCAATCCTCTGGCATTATCCTGTATTAGGTGACTATCTTCACTGCAGATTTTTATTCCCAGTTAAAGGGGGAAATTATGTCAATTTATTTATTTAAAATATGTATACCCCATATTTCTCAAGAGCAAAGAGGAAGGCACACATTTCCAAACAATCAAGTAGTAAATTTGTTTTGCTTGCCACTGCGATATAGTATTAACATAGAGTTATATCTTACAGTGATGAAAAGATGTCATGTTTCTGTTGATGGTCAATACCCCACATGGTATTTTAGAATGAACCATAGTCATAAAGTCAACCCTTAGGTTGTTTGACTCTTCTGTGACAGCAGCCTCTGAAGTGTCTTCGTTTTTGTTTACATCTGTTCCTTCATACATGGCATTCAGTAACAAAGGAAGAAATCGAAAGAGAGGCTACCAATATAATAAATGATTTATAAATGAAACTGTTGATATCATAGTGCTTTTACACAATATAATAGTGGTACAGCCAAATACTGTGTAAAAGGAAGTAAAAGATTTCTGACTGATGTAGGAAAAAAACACCAGAAATTATCATTCGGTTGGAGCAAATCTCTTGTGTGGACAAGGCAGGGACTGTTTGGACGTATTGGCTGATATCCTATTGTTTAGCATAGTAAGTTACACTAGAATCAGTCCATTGAATCAGTGGGGATTTGGTGAATCAATTCCTAAATTCTTATTCAAATGGGCCCATTCTAGTTGCAGCTTACTTCGCTAAAGTAAGTCACAAGCAAAGCAGGCTTATTTGAATTAACAGAAGGTATGGAGGAAGTTTGGCACCTTAGCCTGTGGCAAACCATTTTGTTTCTTCATATTCTGTCCTAACAATACCTTCTTGTACAGAATGTAGGTTATGATCAAGAAGTCAAATTTGAAGCTCACAATTTTTTTTTAGAATTAATCCATAGCTTTTCAAGATTTTTACAGTGAGACTAATCCACAAAGCACAAACTTGTTTTCTTCTAAAACTGTGGAACGCTCTAGTAGCAATATATATTTGCAGTTTCTCTAGTGCCTTATTTTCTGAATCCAGCATAAACATTGGACTTTTCTTGCTTTGTACATGATAAAAATCTTTTCAGCATCACTTTGCTTACATGGCAAATTAACACAATGGTCTCATAGTTACTGCAATTATTAGTGTCTCCTTTCTTTGAATTTCAAATGTTTATTGAATGTTTGTTGGCCTGTTGTGAGACAGAGAGCTAGAGGAATACCCCACTCGCTGGAGAGCCATCCCTCCTCAACAGCAGAGATGGGGAGGTGGACCCCAAACCCATACCCAAGCCTTTGGTGGAGCTTCTGTGGGAGACAGTGTATAGAGGAGCTGACGGAAGATGTACAGAAAGTGACAATAGGGGAAGTTTAGGAGGAAAAGGTGGGAAGAGAGAGAAAGAAGAGGGTGGAGTTTGAAGCAGGAGCAGGGGAAGTGGAAAGGAGGGAAGGGCAGTTACAGCCTGGTTGGGAATGGGTGTGGATGCAGGATCCTTAGACTGGATTATGGGAGAGACTGAGAGTGCCAAAGGAGGAGGCAGACTATAGGAGAAGATTCCCCCTAAACCCTCTTATTGGGGGGGGGGGAACAGAAGCAAGGGAGCGGAGAAGGAGATTGAGAGAGGAGAAGGAACGGGTAGAGAGAGAAAGATTGGAATGGAGGGGAAGAGAGATGAAAAGAAGGAGCTACAGGGAGGACCCTGGGAGAATTGAGAACCCAATGGATGGATCTTGTGGGATGAGGAGCCCCTGCCCCTGCTGGAAGGCGCGACGAGGCAGACAGTAAAGGACTGGGTCTCAAATGCTCTTCAGGGACCCTGGGACTGTAGTTACAGAAACCCATTCTTGTTCAACGAGTGCAAGCCCCTTCCGGACAAGTTGGCAGAAGGAGAAAAGACTCATAATCATATTGCTTAACCCTCCAATAAATCTCACACCTGTTTTGAAACAACACGGATCTGCTGATTTCTTTGAATTGAATCTGAAGCCTAAAGTCAAATCCTCACACTTGTCTGTTGGCCATTGTTTCATTTTCTATATTTGTTGGTACAGTCTTATTAGGATTTTGATAAATTCAGTATCTATAACTTGGAATGGTTCTGTTGCTATCCCATTTATTCCTTATGATTTATTTCTGCCAGTTGCTTTGAGAGCAGCTTTCACTTAATTTTCCAAAGTAACAGATTCTTCAACAAACTACTTTTCTTCAAAGGAATCTGTCATTCTATTTCTTCTGTACAGTTCTTAAGAATACTGTTTTTATCTTCTTTTTATTTTACCTTGATTTGATATGGTATTCCCGAACTGATCTTTTACCATTTCTAATTTTGTTTTAATTTCCCTTTAGTTTTTTTATTCCAATGGCAGAGATCCATTAGAATAGCCACAATCCTACACACATCCTTCAGAGCAAGCCTCATTGAATTAAAACATTTAAAATTATAAATAGGCATGCATATCATTACACTATAAAATATGTACAGTGAACCTGAATCTTTTACTTAAATAGCAAATGAGGTATTAATCTGCCCCTAAAAATGGACTTAAGCAATTCATACTATAGAGGTTTAAACAGGTACTGGTTGGTGAAGGAGTGTAAGGAAGTTATAGAGGCTTAAATAGTTACTGGCTGCTGATGGGGGTGAAAGAAATACATAATGCATGAAAAAAGGTTAATATATTGGAATGTATAGGAAAAGTGTTTGTAATTAATAAGCCTATTTGCCATATGAAGTGGAGGCAAATCATCAGTATGACAAAATACATTCAGTTTCTAGAATCTAGAAAGAAAATATTGTGCCTTTATACTGTACTAAA